TATACATGTTCACACGCAAAGACGTTCATTACAAATATGAAACGCAAATGACAATTGCACACCACACACCAAAGAATTCGTTACAAAATAAGAGAAAATACTGACGACAATATTACACACACTCACACACCATGGTATTCATTACAAACTGGAAGGAAATCTAATGACTGTCGTACACCGCGCACACACACACACACACACACACAAAGTAGTCATTACAGAATTTAAGAAAATAGCCATCACAGTGGAACACACACATACTAAAAAGTACACATTACAAAATAGGAAATACAAATGACATTTTTACACACACACAAATTTATAATAAATAGGAAATACCGATGACGGACACACATTCACATGCAAAGGTGTTCATTACAAAAATATACTAATGACACTGTGCACACGCACACAAATGTATATATTACAAAATGGGATGAAATAATCACAGTTGCACACCAAATAAGAGGATATACTAAAGACAGTGGCACACACACACACACACACACACAATTGAAGACACACACAAAGGTACTGTCAGAAAGTAGGAAATACTAATGACAGTTATATACACTCACAGGTATTCGTACAAAATAGAAACACTAGTGAAGATTACACGTAAACCTGCAAACTTATTTAAATCAAAATAGGAGTTACTGACACTCGTGCACACACAAGTATTTGTAACATTTAGGAAACTCTAAGGACAATTTTACACACACACAAAGGTATTCATTACAAAATAGGGGGAAATACTAATTACTCTTGTTGACACACACACACACAGGTTCTCAAGACAAAGCAGGAGGAATTACAAATGAGGATTTTACATAATCACAGAAATTCATAACAAAATAGGAAGAAACAGTAATGGCAAATGTATACGCACTCACACACAGAAAGTTATATATTACGAAATAGGAACATGACAATCGACATACACACAAAGGTGTTTATATCCAAATAGGAAGAAATATTCATGAAAGTTGTCCACACACACGAAAGATGTATAACAAAACAGGAAGTACTAATACGAGCACTACGCACAGACACAGACTAAGGTTTCATTATTTACAAGGAGGGAACACTAATGACGATTGTACAGAAACACTAACACACGATTCATTACAAAATAAGAAACGCTAATGACCAATGTACACACACACACCCGAGCACATAGGTATCCATTATCGAATAGGAAACAGTAATGACAGTTGTACATACACACACAGCAGTTTGCATATCAAAATAGGACATATTGATGACAGATGAACACACACAAACACAGTAAGATATTCCTAACAAAATAGGAAATAGTGACCTTTACACACATTCACACACAATAGTGTTCATTACAAAAAAGGAAATACTCTGACAAATTTACACACACAAATATATTATTACAAATACGAAGAAAGGCTAATGGCAGTTATACACAAACATACACTAAGGTATTCATATGGAATCAGAAATACTAATGACATAACACACAGATTTACTTATAACAAAATAGGAAGTATTGATGACAGTTTTATACACGTCCACATGCAAAAGTGTTTATTACTAAAAAGGAAATACTAATGCCAATTTTACACACACACGAAAATTTTACAAAATAGGAAATGCTAATTACAGTTGTACATACACGCACCAAAGGTATTTATTAAAAATAGGAAATAGTAATTACAATTATACACATACATGCAAAGTACTCAGAAAAATAGAATTACCAATGACAATTGTACACACATTCTCACCCAAAGGTATTCATGACAAAATATGACAATGATACACATCCACACAAATGTATTTATGACAAAATAGTAAATAACTAATGAGAATTATACAAACACAGTCACAGTTTTTATTACAAAATATGAAATACTAATGACCATTGCACCGACACACACACAAGTAATTAATAGGAAGTACTGATGAGATCGTTCACATTTTCATATGCAGAGGTGTTCATTAAAAATATGAAATATGAATGACAATTGTACACACACAAACCAAGGAATTTGTTACAAAATGAGAAGAAATACTAATAACAATAGTACACAAACACAAAGGTTTTCATTACAAAATAATGGGATACACTAATGACAGTTGTACATATACACAACTACACACTAAAGTCAAAAGTATTAAATACAAAATTGGAAGTAATACTATAACAGGTATACACACACCCACACAAAAATATTTGTAACAAAATAAGAGAAATATATAATGTCAGTTGTATAAACACAAATGTGTTAATTACAAAATAGGAAATGTTAATAACATTTGTACACACAGGAAAATGTATTCATGGCAGATAGGAGGAAACATTAAAAAGAAGTGTATACACACAAAAGATATTCATAAAAAATTGAAGGAAATACAAAGACAATAGTGAGCACAGACACTACAGTATTCATTACAAAATAAAAAGTGATAATGACAGACACCCATTCACAAGTATCGAAAACATAATAGGAAATAATGTTGACAATTGTACCAACATAAAAGGTTTTATAAGACAATACTAATGACAGTTGTCCACACACGCAGATGTTTATAACAAAAACAGGAAATACAATGACCATTTTAAACACAGAGACACACAAAATTACTCATAACAAAATAGCTGGAAACAATGTCAATTATACACACAAAAGGTATTCATAAAAAGTAGGAAATACTAATAACTGTAGTGCACACACACGTAAAGGTATTATTAAACACTATAGACAACTGTACGGAAACTCACAAGTATTCATAACAAAAACGTAGAAATACTCATGACCTTGTGCATGTGCACACACACACACAAGGCCTCATTTTAAATACAAAATACTGATAATAAATGTGCACACACAACTAAAGGTTTTTTAGTACAAATAGGAAGTACTATCGGAGTTGTACCCTCACACACGCACGAAGGTATTCATAACAAATCGGAAATCCTAATGACACTTCTACAGACACAAATTTATTTATAATAAAGTAGACCATCCTGATGACAACCGTACACACATTCACAAACAAAGGTATTCATTACAAAATGGGTAATACTAGTGACAAGTGTACACATACATACAAAGGTTTCCATAACTAAGAAGAAATAACAATGACGATTGTAAACACACAAAATAGGAAAGAACACTAATGATGATAGTACATGCATCACACACAAAGTGTTCGTTATAAATAGGAAATACTAATAGCAAATGTGCACATACACACACAAAGGTATTCATAACAAGAAAGGGAAATACTAATGGCAATTGTACACACGATAAGTATTCATTAACAAATAACATTAACGACAGTTGTACACACACTCACACACAAAGGATTTCGAGGGCATGACACTTTGAAAGGAAGGACCATGCATCTGCAAGGGCGAGGAGGCAGAGACAAGCAGGGCACAGGGACAGATACAGAGGACGTATCTGTCACTCAGAAGGACCAGTTCCCAGAGTTACACGCGGAGGCTTGCGGAGCAGACGAGGCCAGGCGGGTGGGAAGGACGGATGCCGTGTTCCGCTGTGCCGTCAGGAGAGACGGAGGAAGCGTAAGGTCGTCAAACGTCTAATGCTAGTTTGGGGCTTTAGGGTGGTGCTAGTTAAATGCTAAATCGTGCCTCGTTTGGGGCAGGGGAGGTGACTATGAGGAAATTGCTGCGTGGAGCGGTGACCCCATGGCGTGTGCTTGGTCCCAGGGGTGAATGGGAGACGGCTTTCCTCCTGCATTGACTCAGCGGAGCGGGAATTCAGACACACGCGTGGGAGATTAAATTCGGGGTAGTGACGGCCTTCCGGACACTGCCCCCAAGTGCAGCACATTGGGGTTTGAGTATTTCAAGCTGGAGGAATCTGTAAAGGGAAGGTTCCGGAAAGACTCTCTGACCTCCTTCCCCGATGCTCACGTGAGACTGTCCCTCTCTGTGCTCTGAGAAAAGGCGCATCGGTAGGACAGAGGGACAGCAGGAGGAGGCTGGGCACACGGGCCTTGCGAAGCGTCCCCCAGCCGACTGCCCCTCCTCCTGCCCACGTCCTGTCACGTTGCTCCACGACCTGAGCAACGTTAACGTTCACGCTTGCCTGTGTCCATGGGCCCTCATTTCCTCATGACGGCCTCCGAATCTTGTAAAACTTTAATCTGCACGCTCTCCTGTTAGTCTGTCCGCTGTTATCGGGGAGGCCCAGCTGAGAACCTAGAAGGAGAGAAAGGAAAATCTTCCTTTCCTCCCCTGTAGTAGAAATCCTGTCGTTTGGACTGTGCCGAGTACTGCAGGATTTCAGGGCGCGTGGGCCTGTGGTATGGATTTAAGCAGTCAGGGAAGGCTCCCTGGAGGAAGCAAATAAAGGGCGAGTAGTACAAACTGAAGGGAAATAGAGCAGGGAAGAAAAAATAGGATTTCTGTTCCAGGTAAGGAACAGTGCGAACAGATGACTAACTATCTGAGAGTGTCAGCAGAGGACGTGTCATCTGCCTGAGTCGAGCTGAATGTCCGTGCTAGGGCGACTTTGCGAGGCTGTCTGAGGACACCGCAGGGCCTGGAGGTCACGCCACATTCATTAGCTACACTTGACATCTTCCTCCTCAGAATGCCGCCTGTGTGACTGTACCTTGCAAGTTCTGGTTTCTGGGTGTCTGGAAAGTTCCTAATGCGACCCCTTGGTTTTAGAGACTCTGCAGGCAAAAGAGTAGAGGGTTTGGCAGAGACTAAAACATCCCAGCGGCCCCCGGCGAGGGCACGGGAATTACGGATCACCGCTCCCGCCATTCTTCCTGTCTCCGCAGACTTTCCTGAGCAGGACCCCAAATTACTTGGTTAGCAGGAGTCAAGATCGCAGGCCATCTGGCTTCAGGGGACTGCGAGGCGGAACCCAGCCCCCTGACCACCCCCCGCCCGCCAGCAGCAGTGGCTGTGGGTGATGCCGAGCAAGAGGGTGAATTCTCAGAAGACCGAAAGGAGAAACTATCTCGAATTATTGGAACAACCAAAGTTTCGTTAGCGTTTTTTTCTAGTTACATTGTCACTTTTAATTTTTTTTCCTCTCTAGCTCTTTGAAATCATTGTTAGTCAAAAAATTATGAGATTTCCTGCCATTCTTGACATACTCTTAGGTTTGAAAATAAGACATTTCCTTTGTACTGAAAATATAACATTCAACTTGACTATTTTATAGTCAAGGAAACGTCCCCACCCCTCGCCACCAGACTGCTTAGCCTGTTGTGCCAGTTCAGTGAAAGGTTTTAATGAACATCTGTTCATTTTATGTCAATTCGCAGAGCATTTGAGAGCTCCGAGGACAAGACCCTCGAAACCCGTGACTTCCCTTTAGTATGTTGGGACGTCTGGAGCCTTCGTTTATGATGCTTTGGGGGATTAAATCGGATGGTACGTCCGTGTTAAATCGTATGCGAGTTTGAATTCTTATTTCTGGCCGTCCGCAGGATGGCGGGCAGTGCGGACCCGCGGCCACCGTCCAGGAGCCTGGAGGCCGGCGGCCAGCTGAAGGGCGCCGGGTCCCTGCGGGTCGGCGGCAACACGTCCCGGAGGTCCCGTGTCGGCGGGAGGACAACGGCGCAGGGGACCATCTCGTGAGCGACCGCGGCGGGAGGGGCGGGGCTCCCGGCTTCCAGGGCTTCCTGCGGCGCCTTGTCCCCAGGAGGCCACCAATGAGGCTTCTTCCCCCCGGGGAGGTGGGAGGAGGGGCGGTGCTTGGGTTTTCATTCTAGAATTTCAGGAGAGGAGTTCGCTTCTACTCAGAAACGAAGTGGTTCGCCGCCAGAGACTTTTTGTTTTACAGTTATTGGCTGTAAAATGTCGCTTATAAGCAGCATATTTAGAATTGTTTTTATTTCTCTTTTACCTAATTTATTGCTCTCAATTTTTCAAACCCTTTTAGAATTATGTTGGAGCGATTGGTGTATTTAAGTGGGGAATACTGTTTTAGTAGTTCAATTTTAGGTTTTGTGTTGCATTTTTTTGGTACTTAAAAAAGCCGACAAACTAACCAGATCATTCGCTTGAGTGGGACAAAAAAGTTCACCAGAGTTTCAAGGTTTATGTTAAAAATAACTGAATTTTGACTTCAGAAGTACTGACAAATTTTTTTTCTCAAACTTCTGAAATAAGTCTCAGAATGTTTTCACAGTAGCTGCCGAAGTTCGTTGATCTTCACCCCACGGGCTCTCGCACTGGGCCGCTTTCTGCCCCCGCGACGCTGTCGGATGGACGCGGTCCCCCCCCACCCCCACCCTCGTCCCCGTGGGCGTCTCTCTCCCTCCTGCTTCATTGTCTTACAAAAACGGAGCAGGAACTTTCCTCTGTCGCATTCCACAATGTAGGCAAGTCAGTGCTCCAAACTACCCCCCAAATTACGAATTTATTTCCTTTTTCCTTGTTCATTATTTGAAAGTTGACTTTAAAAAAATTATTTTTAATGTAAGGTTGAAAAATATGGGGACTGCAGGACAGTGAAGGGGTAGGCAGTGTTCCAACACGCTGCAGCTCCTAGTCACCGCGAGGCCCGCGCTCCAGCTTCGTCGTCTGTTTGAATAACCCGA